AAAGGATCCTGCAAACAGAAATCATCCGAAGCAGTTGTAACAATTGAACCAAGTTAAAGCAAGGTCAGGTCTGTTCAGCTGTGTCCGCTTCAGCTGGTGAAACTGAGGGAGGGACAACGGGAGGTAGTTGTGGGAATGCATGTCCAAATAGGATTAGCCCTCAGGAATTTGTCTGTTATTGTGATACAGACTATCAAGCCACTCCCCTCCCTAGAGTTTGATTTAATATAGGCAGCGATTGTGTGCAGGTGGCAGGGCAAGGGCTCCATAGGTGTCTGAAAAAGAGCAGTGTGAAGTGCCCCTGGAAATAGAGAGGTTGCTGTGCTGCACTTGAAAAGACGATTTTTTTTTCTATGAGCACTGTGATTGTTTGGGGAATCTCTCCTGTGTGCTGATGAGCTCCTGTACCCGGAGCGTGCTGCAGGCTCTACTGTGAGCAAGGGGCTGGTGGCCTGTCCAGGGTTGGTGAGCCACAGCAGCGTGGGAGGACTGAGCTTGGCTGAGGGGTGTTCAAAGGTGATGAGTGTGTCATCAGGAAGGCACTTTAAGTCTGCACAACAGAGGAGGTGACAGGCAATAGTTCCCAGTGTGGGACTCTCATCATCTGGCTAAAACAATTGAGGACTCACCCCCACAGTGGGAATTGGGAGAAGGAAGTGAGACAGAACACTGCTTTCCTAGCAAGGGGGGTCCTGCCAAAAAGGTGGATTACTTGCTGGAGGGGAGAGGGAGTGGCTGGGGAGGGGATGAACTGCTCCAGCTGCTGGGAAATCAGAAGAAAGTGGTTGTGTGTGTGGTGGCTCTGCCCTTGAAGGACTGGGCAGAATGCAGACTTTGAGGCTGGTCAGTGGTCAGCAGGGAGTCTGCACCCTGCAAAGATGGTAGGGACAGTGAAAAACCAGGGCCAGGGGTTCTTTGGAGCTGGGATTTGTCAGAGTGCTGGCCCTAGTGCTTTGCAGCTCTGGCATTGCAGCAGGTGGTTACCAGACAGGAGCTTCATCCATCTTCTCACAGACTCACGCAAAAATAATGAAGCATCCTATTGCATTTTATGGTGCACATTTCTCATGGTCTTTCATCTGACAACTTCTCTTGTTTATATAAAGGTATACTGCCACCGATAACAACAATAACAATAACAGTACTACTTACACTAATAATAACGAAAAAGCCTGAGTTATTGCATATGCATGACAGGACTTTTAATATCTCTGTGTGTCAGCAAGTGAGGGATGGGAATGGTGGGCAGCCCAGGATGGCTGTGCATGTACTCTGGAGGGAGTGAAGGTTTTAGGCACCCCCTCACGTGGTTAAGATGGTGTGATTAGAGAGGATTATGCGTTATGTTTAGTTCTCCTCCATAATACCTGCTTTTCTGATGAGCCATTTTGTAATTTGAAGTGCCCCAGAGACATCAGCCCAACAAAAACCAAGATAGGTTTGATGTCTGATTGGGTACGGAGGGGTTGTTGGCCCCACTCCAGAGGGGAGGGTGCTGGCAGGGCAGGGAGCTGGGATGCGGAAGGGGATGTGAAGGGGATGCGGAAAGGGATGTCTGATAGCAGGACAGGAGAGGAAGGCAAGTGGTTGTCCCTTGTGGGGGAGTGCCAGCAGGTTATTACCTGCAGATGTCTTCAAGGCACAGGAGCTTATGGGTCCTCCAGCTGTCCAAAAATAGATGTGAGAGGAGCACTTGGCAGCAGGCGGAAACAGGGAAGGATGCTGCGTGGGAAGAAGAACCAGGAATGTGAGGGTTTGTGGAGCACTCATAATTGCCTTTTCTGATGAAGGCATGCTCCAAGAGGAGCCAGCTACCCCCTTGCTGAGAACAGGGGAACAGGACCCAGAAGGGTCCAGCCCTCTGGGATCTGCTTTATGTTGGCCTCCTCCATCCCTCCTCCACCTCCCAGCTCTTTTGCGTGGGATGGGAATTGCTCTGTGCAGAGATCTCTCCCTGTTTCCTGATCTGGCATGTTTTTCCATTTAGATGTCAGCTCAGGAAAATAGAAGTCTGTGCCAAAACCCATCTTTTTTTGGGGATACTACTTAAGTCCATGCTTAACTTTGAACTGCAGGGAATTAAAGAGGATGGGAGCATGCGTTTGAAGTTAAGCACAGGTACAGAGATGGGCTGGAGGAGGAGGAGGTCAGAGCACTCACGGACTTGCAGCCCAGGTAAGGTGCTTCTGCAGCAGTTGAGCTGCTCCTGACTTTCCATATCCTTGAGGTAGAAGCCCAGCATGTTCCTACCATGGTTAGATTAGTTTAATCAAGACATGCTTCCAAAGCATATAACTAGGTGACTTACTTGCTATTTGACTGCTCTTGAACACATTATTACTGAACTCTCCTGGTTGTTACCTGCCTTTGTACCAGAGATAAATCAACGTATACACCAGTGATATGATGCATTTGCCTAACTCATTTTCACACAGTGCCATTTGAGAAGTGAAATATTTCTTGCTGATGTCACATTGTCTTGTGGGTTGTCACACCCTTATAACTTAGTGTTCCTCTTTCTTCTTTGGCACACAAGCAGTATTTAAAAAAAAAAATCCCCTTCACATGGTGCATAGGCTCTTGTAGGGTATTTTTAACCTATTGCACTCAGACATATTTGGTTTTCTTCTCAAAATACAAATTCCCCGACATGCTGAAATATGCAGTGATGATTTTTCTTTCTGCCTTGGAAAAAGGAATCTAATATATTGTGAGCAAACTCTGCGTCCTTATCTAGGACTGAAATTGGACTTCATAGAAAATTCCCCTGCTTCTGCAGAACACCAGTTCTCTTCCCGTTTGGGATTTATTGCACCAAATAGCCATGCTCATTTCTGTTTCTCTGTTGAAGCTTGCAAGTCTGGGAAAGGAAAAAAAAATGCAATTTTATAGTGCAGTTATCTCAGTTCCTGTAGATATTTTTAGTTGCTCTGCTCCTTACTGTGGTGGGGCAGATTTTGTGCTGGGGGGTTCTGACCTGCACGAGAGGAGGAAAAGTGTGAACCGCAGAGTCCCCTGCTCAGCCACAGCTCTCTGCTTTTCTATTCCCCCAGCAGATGTTATAGGAAGGCTCTGTACAAGCCTGTCTTCATTTCTCTGATCCAAACTGTGTTCACTCATGCAAAACATATCCTCGAATTGAGTTTTCCTTTAATTGTATTCCTAGAACCAAGTTATGTCTGTAACTACGTGCAGTTTTACACTTCCAGTGTGATTTGCAGCTCCCTTTCTGCTGTTTGCTCAGCAAGTGGTGAAAAAACTCCTGCTGATCACTTGTCCCCAGCTATTTAATGCTGCTAAAGAGGGTCCCTTCTACTCCTAAGATGACCTGGGGAGCAGGTCACTTTCTAGGAGCAGATACACCCCTGCTTCCCCACTTTCTCTGGCTCCCTCCACCCTCATGACAAATGAGCTGAGTTATGGAAATCGTTTCACGGGAACTGTGGGAGAAGATATTCTGTCCTTATCTGCCTCCTTACGTGGCCCGTGGCAGGTCTGGGGAGAGCAAAAAACCTTGGAAACAAATGCAGCCTGGTCTTGAGGTGATGGCAATGTGTTTGAATAGAATAATGATGAAAGTGGCAAGTCGGCCAAAGATGTCATATTTCAAAAAGAGGTTGTTCATTCAAGTACCCATGAGATTTGGGAACCCGGCGTCCTCGGGAAAGTTAGTGGCCTCAGGGTTTCTCTGTCCTTCGGCGCTTTTGAAATATCTCATCCCTCCTCAAGAATATTAATATCAGAGCTATGTAAAGCCAAGTCCTCGAAAAGGGAAATAAATGCAGAAAGAACTATAAATAGGAAAAGATATTCCAGAATCAACATCTTCTTAAATAAGTTTTCTCAGGGTAGATCCTTTTGAGGTAAAGTTGTATATTTAAAATGTAAAATATTTGCCTACTCTGCACCTAATCCAGGCGTTTTTTCACTTTTTCCATGAAAAAGGACCGCAGAAGGAAAGGCAAGCAAGAGACTTGCAGTGACTTTCAAGGTGTTCAGCTGCAGTTATTTTATTAGTTTTATTTCTGAACGAGGACTTGAAGCTATGGTTTTCATTTAAGTTTGACATTTTTCTCTTGGTTCCCAAGTAATTTTTAACATAGGTGGAGCAAACTGCGTGCTGCATGCTTCATCTAAGGCTTGTGCAGCTCTCACTGGGGCACAGAGCTGTGCAGGCGTTGTGGAGTGAAGGACCATGTCTCTGATAGTGCCCAGCCTTGTCTCAAGGTGTGGGTGTGGCCCAGAGTCCCACCATTCACTTTGGGGGTTGGTTTTCTATATTTTTGCTCAGTTGGCAGAACAGCTGGCACCCAAAGCTGTAGCGGTCTGATACTCCTAAAAGTGAAATAAAACGCTGTGATTTCTGACCTCACTCAAAGATAACCTTCACATCAGCTGCAAAGTCCCCCACTTTCCGAGCTGAGCACAAGGTGCGTGTTGCATCAGCAGGAGATGCTGGAGACTTCCTTGTGCATCCCCTCTCCATCCTTGGCATCTCGGAATGGGGGCATCCCCTCTCTCTGCCCAGATTCATTCTCCTATCCCTGTGGTAAAGTGGCAGGGGAGCAAACCCAGGCCGGTGTGTCAGCCAGAGCAGGACATGGTCCTGTGCCAGGCTCATGCCCTCTTTTTGGGATTACATCGTGTGAAGGATTGGAGGAGGGGAAAGAGGGCTTGCCAGGCAGGTGCACTGACCTCACAGGAGCCCCATAAATGAACGTGGCTCATAAATCTCTTCAAATAATCCTGCTCTGGAGACAGGGTGAGACATCTTCATTTAGACCTACTTGAAAATTGCTGAGCTGGTTTGCTCTCCCATTCTTTCGTTTTGCTTGATCCCTTCTGTCTCTCTCTCTCTCTCTCTATCTCTATCTCCATAAATATATATTCTCACATATATATGCACACGCACACACATGCACTCCCCTGGTGTCTCTTTCTCTCTACCTGTTATTTCGGTGCCAGGGTACTGTAGCATTCATGTTTCTGTGCTTCCCCAGGCCGTTCATTGTGCTGCCTCCCCTGATGGAATGGATTCGGGTTGCCGTGGCTCACGCGGGGCACCGTCGCAGTTTCTCGGTGGACAGCGATGACGTACGGCAGGCAGCGAGGCTCCTGCTGCCGGGAGTTGACTGCGAACCTCGACAGTTAAAGTAAGTCCACAAAACGCAAATCGGCTGCTTTGTGCAAAATGTGTCTCTCTCTCCTAGTGAACAGCGAGCAGGCAGGCAGGCAGAGGGCTCTGTTATTGCCCGGAGAGGCGCATGGATGCTCTGGCTCATCACTGTATGTGTTGCAAAATCAGCTCCTGGTATTTGCTCACATCCGTGGATAAGCTGGTTGAATGGTAATGGGTGCCTGAATATCGCACAGCTGGATCGAGCCCCTAATCTGCTCATCAGAGCTCATATGGTGGTTTTTTTCTCTTCCTATTAGGTTCTGCTTGCTAATGAGGGGCTGAAACCTTCTGCTAATTGTCTGCTTCACGTTGCTTTGCTATGAAGTACCAAAATGTAATTGGCAGGGCTGCAGATATTTTTCAGGGCTTTGTTTTCAGCATTAATGCTTAAAGGGCACATTTAAACTTATAGGTAAGACGACTACTTGCAGTAAAATTGTATTTTTCATGCTAATGTCAGTTCAAATCAGTTGTAAATGTCAGCTTAGATAATTTGACTTTTTCAAGTATCAGATGTGACCTTTTGGTTTTCTAATGGAGTCTTAAAGTGTTTATTGCCAGGATATGTTTTTAGTGTCTGTTTTGCCTTATTATTGTGTACTTGTATAAAAGTACGATCTAGGGCCATTCTGGAGTCAAGAATATGTTTGGTTTTGTTTTTTATATGAAAAGGCATTCTGAATCTGGCAAAGTGGAAATTGTTTGCTGCTATTGCTTCACAAATTTGTACCCAAACCCCAATTTTCAGCAGTCTGCCTGTCCATACAGCAGTAGGGGCATTCTTTCCTGCAGCACAGAAAGCAGAGGGGTGATTCCCGTGATTAGCTGTGACAACCTTCATCGGAGCAGCTGCCTTCTGTTGGCTCTGGCCTTGACCTCCTCTTTCACCAGAGAGTATAATACTTTAATTCGAGATCTACATAGGCTTTTTATAGTTGCAGCTATTCAATATTTAATTGAAGAAATATGTTGAATTTCAAAAGCCAAATCTTGAGCGTTTCAGATTTCAAACCTTGGCTGTAATTGCTTCCCTTTGGTGTGACCATTTTGGCCCTCATTTCCAGAAGTGCTGCATTCTGTGTCCCTACTGAAATGTCAGGACTTATAGGTGTAGGTACTACACACTGTCTGAAGACCTAGCAGTCAGTTCTGAAAAGGCACAATTAATTTAATACCTCTCCAGGTATTCAGGCAGGATTGCAAATAAGGCAATAATGTTTCTACCCTACATCCTCTGTCTTAAAAATTAAGGTAGATACAGTTAAATATCTGAGGATTAAAAGAATTTACAGTATACCACTCCTAAAGTTGTATTTTGACTCTGTGTGTATGTGTGTATATATATATATAAAATGCCATCAACTGTTAGACAATTTTCCAGGAGTCTCAAAATAATTAGTACTTGTAGAGAGTTGTATTATACTGCAAAATAATTTATTAATTATGGGGAACAAATCAGCATTTAGTTTATAAGTTGCCAATAAGAATTCATTTTACAAAGAACACAAATAATTGCTGTTGTCCTGCTTGTCTTGCAAGTGGGAATGAGCCTGAAGAATGCCTGGGATTAATCAGGTGAGAATAAAAAGAGAAATGATTCCTGAGACAAATTCTGGATTTTAGAGAGACCAGCCTTTGCAGTATGCCCGTATTTGACTGCAGGGGCCCAATTCATCCATTGATGTCCCAAAATGACAGTCTCTCTACAGTGCTGACAGAGGTCTGCAAATGAGTGTTCATGTGCTTTGGGTTTTATTTTAAGGTCAGTGCCTACTGCCAGTATAGTGCAGCAGGTTCTTTGTGTAGCTGCAAATAAGACCCCAGCTGTCTGTAATCCTGAGATCAAAGGAAGGACCAAACTTTCCTGAAGAATAATGTGAGGATGTTAATTTGAAACTTTGCAGCTTGTAATTTTTTATTTATATTCAGCAGACCCTCAGCACTCCTGATTTTCATAAGCCAAACACGAATCCTTCATGCCTCCCCATTAGGGAGGGCGCCTTTCAAACTCTCAACTCCTCAGTGAGCATCAGTTCCATAAATTCAAACACTGGATGGGAAAATACAGCTTTGCAGGGGATGGCTTTCAAAATAAGCTGCGTGACAGATGAAAGGTGGAGGATTTTAAATGCAGTTAGTTTGATAAATTTTGTTACTTTTATGGTAAGGGTTTAACAAGTAGAACCTTGAAACTGGTTCACTTTCTAGGCTTTTCATTCACGGTCTTCTCTAGTCCCTAAAACATAGAAACCTAAATCCAAAAGTTCCCATGGTCCCATGTGATAACTTCATGGTTGTTGTGTTGATTCACAACCTGTCATTGCAAACACATAAAGCAAAACCACCTTCCATGCTGGAAAAACATGCATATGGGCAGAGGGAGAGATTGGCAGGATCTCAAAAGGCTGTGAAGTTCAGGATCAGTTTGGATAAAACCCAAATGTTCAGCTTCTTATCTGGACTACAGCATAGAGGTCTCCCAGCAGATTCATGTGACACTTCCCAGCACAATCACATACTCCAGCAGTGAGGTTCCTGATCTGTGGCTGTGTAAATTTTCTCTGCTTTTTTTCTGCCTTTCATTCCTCTGTTCCACCCTTTTTCTGATCCTTTTTAAAAAATCCATTGCCTTAATTTCTTGCAATGTTTTTGTCTCCTGAAAGAGGAGCTGTGCTTGCTTTGGGCAGAGGAATGAGGGAAGCTGGAATCAGTCAGGAGCTGCCTGTATCCTTCCTGACTTCTTTTCATTTTACAGCATCAGATGGGCCAGAAAGTTTCTTCCCTTTCCCCAGCTTTGGGAGATGAACAGGCATATAAATGATCACCTTCCCCCAGGAGAGAGCTTTAGACAGATCAGTTGTTTCCACCTTTTGCAAGGAGGCAGGTTTCACAGATGGATTGAGTGCTGCATGCACAACAGCTAGCTGAGATGGCAACCCAAGTTGTGTCCAGGATATTATCACAGTGGGAGACCACACTTAAATAAAACCTTGCCTGTACCCAGGCCCTTTGGGCCACCTGCGGTAGCTGTGTGGAGTCAGTAGAGAACTGTGTGCAAGGTAGCTGTCTGCTGGCATGAATCTGGTGAAGGTGGGTGCTCTGCTCCCTGTTCTAGACCTTGAAGACATCAGGGATGAAGGTGATTTGTTGTCAAAAAGGGACATAGTGGTAAAAACTCTGTTGACTTGCCTTTCTACTGCAATAAGGTAGCATCAGTGCTCAGTCTGCACTGGAACTGCCTGGCTGCAAACAGATCCCTGGTTTTGGCTTCTCCTTATAATCACGTCTGCAAGGGGTACTTTTCCCCTTGCTTCAGCTAAACACCAGAAGCTCTTTGCATGTCTTTCATTCCTCCATTCTGCTTAAAATGAATAAAACCCAATGTGTTAGACATGGTGGGGAGGATTGCTGGTGCATGACTACATCTGGAGGCTGACAGCAGAGGAACAGAGAAAGGGAGGAGCATCCTGTATTGCTCAGCATGAAGACTATGCTTTTTGTCAGAGTCAGGGGCTTCATTTCTGGTGGCAACATATCATGACAATCCTGGAGGATGTAAAGATGCTGGAACACCTGTGAGAGGTGTGCATCAGTGCCAACAGAGGCCATCACCCAAGAACTTAAGTGAACACTTTGCCTCTGGTTTTGGGGAAGAAAATCCTGTTGGAAAAATAAATCACAGCAACAAGGTTATGAAAATGGAAAAACAGTAATCAAAAGGAGAGCAAATTATGCAGCTTAATGCACTCAAATCAGGATGAACAGATAACCTCTATCCTAAGAGATAGAGGAAAAAGAGATAAAGCGAAAAAGCTGCCTCACAAAATGAGGGGGTCAGAGGGAAATATTTTTAACAAAGCCTGGAGTGATGCCATAACTCTAAGGATTAATAATAGTAATGCCCAACATTTGAAAAGGATGAAAAATGATCCAAGGAAAATTCCAGGCTGTTAGTGCAAGGCCTTTGAATGTTTTTTCAAGCAAAGACTGATTAAAGACATGTTGTTGAGGGAAAAATGGGATAAAATGTGACACAGATTTTCTAAAGATAGATCTTGCCAGGCTAATCTAATAACTTTTTTGATAAGATAACTGATTTTCTACCCCAAGGAAATTCAGTAGATTTCATCTATTTGGACTTGAGTGAAGATTTGATACAGTCCATGCAGAGAGCTATTAAGATGGAGAAGATGGGGGTTAGAAAAGAAATTGGAAAGTGAGCAGGGACTGGCTTCAAGAGAAGTGGCAAGCACTGGGTTGGCTGAGATGGGGTTGCAAGCAGGGACCTTCAGCTCTCACTCTTAAAAACTGGTATTTTTTAATTTTCAGAAAGGATTTTGGCACAAATCTTAGCAGTGTGCTCATGAAGCTAAAATTTGCTGATGCCATGATGCTGAGAGGCATTGTCCTGACAGAGGAAGTTTGGGAAATCATCCAGGAAAAAGTGGATGACCTTGAGGGCTGGGACAAAATAAACGGGATGAAATGCAGTTTTCCGCAAGTGGAAGGCAAACATGTGGAGATTAAATAGAAAAATACGTATTGCAGTGTATTTGTAAGATATACACTATATATGCAGAATAATATATACTATATTGAGAGCAGAGTATTGAAAAGGTGGTGGGAAAGGCTTTAGAGCAGTATTTAATCTCAGAATGATTGTAAACCACAAAAGTGGATTTTTCCTCAGCCATGAAAGAAGCAAATGCATTTTGAGGCTGCATCGAGAGAGATATTTCCAGTCGAAGCAGGAAAATTTTGATGCCACATAAAAGTGGTAGGAAGTGATGTGGAATCACAAATCCTGTGTCCTGGTCAAGAAAATATTCACTTTGGATAAGGTAGAAAGAAATGGGCTGGGGTGATTTGATTTTTGACAAAATGTTCTTGTGAAGGCAGACTAGAAGAAAGGGGCTCACTCAGCTGCGTGAAGTGGGTGTTGAGGGAACCTGTGGCCCTTCTCCAGAAATACAT